AACACCTTCCCCACTTCATGGCATCCAGTCAAACATCACTTTCTGCAAGTGGATTGTTGCAGATGTAATTGATAGTGATCTGTCCAGTAGACAGCTATGAAGTTGTAGGTTAGTACATCCTGTGACATGACAGTGAAGAGAGACAAGTAGTACAGCTCGAGAAAACCAGAGCAAAGAAGTGAAATATTTGTGTGGAATGCCCTTATTCAATTTGCTCAGTGAGAGCATTCAGCATACATTACTCCAGTCCATGAAATTTACATTTTTTATTTTTACTGTTTGCTTTCACTAGAAGAGAGTGCAAAGTAGGCAAATAGTTTCAAAGTGTGTGGTCTTTATGATTTATATATCATGCTCAGAACTACCACTGACCAAACTTCTTGGTCTTGTTCCCATTTGTTAGAGTGTAATTAAATATTAATTTTTTATGAAAGAACTGTGACCTTTCCTTGAAAGAAAAAAAACATACAGATACTATGATACTGTGGCACAGATGATTTATTTTTTTTTCAAGCTGGTGTGAAAAGGTAGAGAAATGATGTGCCAAGTTTATCCCATCTGGAAGGAATGTAACCATTCTGGATCCAAAGCAAAGCTCAGGATCTCCTGCTCTGTAATGTATTAGGGAACCAAAGGTTGATAGGGTTGGAGAGAGACAAAAAAATCAATATATACTTTAGATATGTTTGATTGGCAGGAGAAAAAGCCTGTGTAAAGGTCAGTCAAACCTGAATACATCACCTTCTTAATTATGGCTTTTAATCTGCTTTAAGACTAGAGAATACTGGTCCTTAAATGACCTCTGTGTTGAATTGGGTATCAGAGTGGAAACTTCAAAGTGCAATTGAAGAAAAATTATGCAATAAATTGAAAGTAACATTGTAAGTTTTCTGTGGTTCCAAGCCTGCAAGAGACCAGCTTTTGTCTGTGAGCACACTCATTAATAGCAGGGATCTACAGCACATATGTGCACTCCTTTGCATTTGCATGGTCCCAAAATATTTTACTGAATATCTATGCAATGATTCTGTACACATACAGAGACTTCTGCAACCAGGAAAGTGTAGGGGAGAAGAAAGAGTAGAATATGAAAATCTCTTTTAAAGTGTTGGTAACAAGCCTCAAAGCTTTTTTTGAAAATATTGTTTTCACTTTTTCTGGTTTTATGTTCATAGACTTCTGAGTAGGTGTATTTGTTCTGCAGTATCACCAGCCAGTCCCAAAGAACCATTCAGCCTTCAGCCAAAGCTGCTTTCTCTGATGCCTGCCTTGGGAAGAAGCTCAGAGGATTGTTCACAGTGCCATCTATGAGAGGTCCCTGATGTGCTGACAGACGTGTACCTTATAGAAATACTCTATCTAGTCTTTATAAAAGGATGCCATCTTTCCAAAATCTTAAGCAAGCTGCTTTATGATGCCAGCTGAAACAATTAACCACCTCCTCTGTAAAACCAACATCTGTTAGAAGGCATTTGAAAGTTACTACCCTGCTCTAGAACTCACCATTGCATAATGACTCTCTGCAAACCCTCAGGTAGTCTGATCTTAGAAGCTTTTAGATGCTGCTGTTCAGCTTTTTAAATCAAAAGACAGTGCTATGTTATAAGATGCTAATCTTGATCCCTTACATTTTAAAGTTTTGTTTGTGGAATCAATGTACAAACTGAAATATATGCAAAGATATTTATGTGATTCATGATTGCCATAGCATTTATAGGCTTAAAAATCATAAAGTGGGCAATAAACACAAGAGATTGACAGTCTTTCATTGAAACCATCAAAACTGGGAAATTTTGAGAGGATAGTGATAGGCTGAGGGGTAATGGCTTTAAACTAAAAGAGAGCAGATTGGTAGATTTAGGAAGAAATTCTTCACTCAGAGGGTGGTGAGGTATGGGAATGGGTTGCCCAGCAAAGTTACAAATGCTCCATCCCTGGAGGTGTTCAAGGCTTCTCAGCCCACACTGAAAAGCTACTCCTTTGGAGGTTACACAGTCTTCCTTTGCCTTTTCCACATGTAAGATGTGAACTAATTCTTCGGTTTAGTTTTTGGTTCCTGCCTTTACCCGAGTGTACGTCCTAGTGCTCAGGGTACCACCTGGGCATCACATTTTAAATTGTGGTCATGTTCTCAAGGAACTTATCAGAAGACTTCATGCTTCAGAAAAAGGGAAAGGGAAAAAAGACTTTTGCCTTGTGTGTGTAGTGCCTTTTATTGCACTAATGTGAAGTGATTCGATGTGATGGACGGAAGTTTATCATAACAAAATCTCATTAAAATCTGTCTGCACTTTGCCCTAACTCTCCTTTGTATAATAAGATCGTGAAGCTGTCTGTGACCAGTCAGTAACCTGTGGTAACCTGTAGTGTGCGTACATTTATGGGTGATGAATAAAACCATTGTTATCACCCTTAAATTTTGGCATCAGTATTTTGCTAATAACATTTGGAAGTTTTTGCTTTATCAGCAGCAATGATTGGCAAATAATCAGCTGTTTTGTAATGAGAAGCTTAAAATAGCAGCCGAAGACATTTGAGTTAAGCTTCGTGGAAAAAGACACTGCTGCATTTATGATGATACCGTTTTTGCTGTGTAAGGATGACATGATTGTTGTTTTAGCTTTTTAGACATACAATGCAATTAAGAATAATCAGTTTTCCCACACATTCCACAAAGCCACTGAAGCCCAAATGCTAATAAACAGGCCCTTAAATTTTGAGTGACTTCCGCTGCTGCATGGGCAGCCCACGGGTGCAGATGTATGTCTCAGAGTGGTATGCGGCTATTGTGCGACTGCACTCTGCTTACAGAGATGCGAGTCTCAAAAGAAGTTGCTGATAAATATCAAACTGTTTAAGATTTGACCATATCTCCAGTTTAGATAGATTTTGAAGTGTGGAGGAAGGGCATCTGTATATAAGTGCACATGACATACATTGTGGTGTTTGCAGTCTGTAACAGGCACCCAGACTACAAGTTTAAAAGACTGTGTAAAAGAATTTGTATTTTGTGTTTACTGGAAGTAGTAGGTGGTTGTACCAATAAAAAACTATATTGTGTTACTACACATATCTGTGTGTGTATCTATTTTCCCCGTACTTTATGTGAAATGTTTGTGGCTGCTTTTAGAATTCAGAGCATCAGCAAAGACATCAGGATTTGGGCAGGGAGGTTCAGGAAACAGATCTTGCCTGTAAGTAAAAGTAATAAGATTATACTGACAGCTTTAGTTCATAACTATTCCTACTAAAACCCATTTGTTCTGAAAAAAAAAAAAAGTTTCTTAAATATTGCTAGACTTTATAACATGTATATTTATAACAATTTTCACAACGTTCATGACTGTTTTAGACAAAAATCTGCATGAACAGATCTATCCAAAAATGTTTATACATTTACATACTTTTGTGTATTCTTTTTCCCAACTGTTTCTGTGCTCATTGCTTTCATCAGTGTGGGTATGCAGTACCTATATATTATGCATGCTTCTAGACATTTATTGTATTGGGGCCAAGTGAGACTTTTTACTTTTTGCATGTTTGAGACTAAATGTTTGCTGAATTTCATCTTTGTTTGCTAAGATTCTTAGACTCAAGTGCTTAATTAAATGTCTGAAAAATAAATTCATAAATTTTATCAGACTAATACTATTTGTGAGAAATGAAGTATAGAGGGAGCAAACAAACGATACTGTAAATGTGATATACACTTCCTTGCACTTCAATAGACATAATTTTCCACATACAGTTTTAAAGCTCTGAATGTGCCAGGTGGTTACTGTTATAAAAGTTTTCAAGCTAGAATAGCATATTTGTGATGGAGAATAAGCCACACTGGTGTTAGAAGACTTTATTATTAAATGTTCCCACACCAGAGCTTTTGTTTGTGTTATTTTACAAAAAATTATACTAAGAATTCACAGCTTTAGATCAGGCAATTATAACTGATGAGAAAATTGATTTCTGATAATGTAAGATGTGTTATGTTCTCTGTGAGAAACTAGCACAAGGCCTCGTTACCATTTGTGCATGAACCTGTGCACTGAAGTCAAATTAAAAGCGAAAGAGTATTTTCCAAGTGCTTATAACAATTGTGGTAGTAATACAGGAGAGATGTGGAAGAAAGGGGAATCTATTTGCATTATCCATTTTTGGAAGATGCCCTGGTAATGATGCAGTGGTAAAAATCAAGGATGATGCCAATTACAGATTTTCTTCATTCCTGTGAAAATCTAAGTTGAGACAATTTCAACATGAAATGCACATTACAGTAAGGGTACTGTAATGAAGTCAAAACAAAAATACACTCCTCAAAGCTGGGAAAAAAAGTTCCATTTTCTCTAGGACCTTGGTCTTGAGACCACTAACTAAGAAGATAGCTTAACTTCCAGCTGAAGAGCTCGAAAGATGCAGTACATCCCTTTCATTCCCATGCAAGTGCCTAACTCGTCATTTGCTATTTGGCTTCTTTTTTTTTTTTTTTTTTTTTTTTTTTTTTTTTTTTTTTTTTCCCTAGCATAGCTCAGATTACCCTGTAGCCTTGTGGCTGGCACATTCAATGAGTATCTGTGAGACTCAGTGCAGCTGTCTGCTCTCAGTCAGGCTGAGAGGGAAGCTGAATAAATAACTTATATCAAGTAAGTGTCATCCTGGGAAATCATCCTCAGTCCCTATGAGTGCAAGTCACATTTGCAAAGTTTCTAGTTGCCTCAAGCTATATTTTCAGCAAAAAAGTATGAACTAAGATTATTTCTCAAGTCCAAATATATATATATATTAAAATTAAAAAAAAAAAATCAAAAGGGCTACTTCCCCTTTTAAATTGAATTTTCCTCCTTGTGGATGACTGTGATCCACTTTTGTAGAACTAGAGAGAGAGTTTGAATGGAAATGTTCATTTAAGGAAAGCATTTGAAAATTATTAACAAAGTTTTCACCTAATAGTTGTGCTAATATTTTATACTTTTGTCACACCTTATCACCTCTCTTTGTTCTTTTAGGCTTTTAAGACCAAGGATGGCTACATCGTGGTGGGAGCTGGAAATGATCAGCAGTTTGTCACTGTGTGCAAGGTAATGGTGTGTTAGGCTGACAATACAGAAACGTGTGACAGTTTCTGTGCTGTGTAGGGAAATAGAGATGAAATAGAGATTGCTTCTTAGTCTTGTCCCCTCCCCCCCCCCCCCCTTTTTTTTTTATATGAAAGTAAGTAGCAACTATAAATTCTAAGCCTGTGCTTCTAGCTGGTAGTTTAGGGCACTGATGCAATTCTGTAATTAGCCTGTGTATTAAGAACACCCTAACTCCAAAATTTGTGCGTGCTCAATCCCCTTTAAAGCACTTGCATAGCTAATTTGCCAAAACACGAACCAGCTAACAACCTCCTAGTTATAAAATGATGAATGTGATGAAAATCACAGCAGTGTCTTTTTCAGGAAGAAATGTGACACTATTTCTCCATAAAACACAAAGTGTAGGCACAGTTATTAACATAGCCAAGTTAGGAGATGGATGGTTCTTGTATCACCTTAATCAATAGCTGAGCATGCAGTCCCTTTTCAAACTATTATGTACTGGTCTATGCTCACAGAGAAACTTTGGGATTTCTTGGAAAAGAAGTATTACAGGACTGTGGGCTGACATGGCAGTGGTGCAGATGTGACTTCGGAGAAGAAAGCTTCAACAAAAATATGCAATCTTCCTTATTTTGGATTGAAGAAACATGATTCTCTGGCAATTCTGTTTTTACAGAGGGTAGCTTGAAAAGTTTTAAAACAGTTTTGGATTTTTCACATACTCTTTTCCTGTGGTTTCAATACCTGGAATCGCTTCTCCCTGCACAGTGAATACATTTTTTAAAAAAGAAGTATTGATTGAAGGTGAAAAAAAAATGTTCTTAAATAAAGGGTATCAACATTCCAAACAAAAGATCCCATTAACATGTTGGATGGCACAAGAGAAGTTTTTTCAGATAGTATTGGGCAGTGTTTTATAAAATTAGTTCTACCTTTTATCTGCAATTGTTTTTGTTGGTGGTGGTGTTTTTTTTTTTTTTTTTTTTTTTTTTTTTTTTTGCTTGTTTTTGTTTGTTTTTGTTAGTTTTTTTCCTCTTGGACTTGGGATATTTAGTCTATACTAGTCATACTTTGTAGAGCTGTCAGCCTCTGGAAATTGAGCATTATTTTCTTCCATTTGTTCACATCAGCCATTTCACATCTCCATGGTTGTTCATGACTAATAACTGGAATATGTAGTAAGAAGATAGTGCAGTTATGATTGTCTGAAGCTCTCTTCTCTCCTAGTGTGTTTTGGGCTACATATGCCCACCTAGCTCTCTTGAGGAGTCTGTTTCCATTTGCTCAGGTTGGCTCTCACAATAAGAAGCAAGTTAACTTCAGATTTTTCTCAGTGGGTTTTCATCCTACAGGTGTTGAACCATTAAAGCGTGGTCATTATATTAACATGAAGGAAGACTAATGGCCTAATGACTGAATAAGTATGTAGCTGCCACACCTCTGTTTTTTCAAGGAGTCATTGTCCCATAAAGGTAATCTTCCCACAAGGTCCCAGGACATTGCTGTGAATGTCTTCTTTGTGTTTTATCACCGGAAGTGCTGGTCATTCTGCCGTCCTCGAGTAAGGCACAACTGAACGTCTGGCTCAGTAGGTTCTGGTAGTATATTGTGAGCTAGAAGGCACTGAAAATTCAGACCATGCTTTCACTTTAGGGTGCTGCTGTGAGACTTATGGTGGGACTTGCTGCTATGTAATCCCTTTGTGTTCAGTAATGAGCAAGCAGTACCCCAGAAGATGGGGCAACATATCAATGATTTGTGTTACTACAGAATCTGAAGAGCCTGAAGTTAAGTGAGATGAATATTGGCCTTAGTCTACAGGCTGCTTGTTCTTTGTTTCATCCTTGTAAAGATGTTTTGTTATTTCTAGAATTGAAAGTAGGAGGTACAAAGCATGAAAAAAATTGTGATTGCTTGCTTGTCAAAGAGAGTAAAAGACCTGAAAACTTAGTTCAAGTTTTGGGTAAGGGCCAGATTTTTCTATAAACCAGTTATCTTATTTGAGAGGTGGGAGTGGGGGTGGCCCTATATGTTAGAGAACATTTTGACTGTTTAGAGCTGAACAGTGATGGTGACAGTGTTGAGTGGTTATGTGTAACAATCAGGGAAGGCCAATGAGACAGATGTCATGGTGGGTGTCTGTTATGGACTGTCCAACCAGGATGAAGAAGCAGACAAAATGTTCTAAAAGCAGCTGGGAGAAGTTTCACAATTGCTAGCCCTTGTTCTGGTGGGGGACTTCAATTTACCAGATTTATGCTGGAAATACAAGATAGCAGAGAGGAAACAGTCTAGGAGGTTTGCAGAGTGTCTGGAAGATAACTTCCTGACACAGCTGGTGAGTGAGCCAACTAGGGACAGCACCCCACTGAACCTTTTGCTTGCAAACAGAGAAGGACTTGTGGGTGATGCGAACGCTGGAGGCCATCTTGGGCATAGTGATGAATTAATAGAGTTTTTGATTCTTGGAAAAGCACAGAGAGGGGTTAGCAGAACTGCCATCCTGGACTTCCGGAGGGCAGACTGGCCTGTTTAGAAGACTGGTTGGCAGAGTGCCTTGGGAGGCAGTCCTGAAGGGCAAAGGAGTGCAGAAAAGATGGGCACTCTTTGAGACAAAAATCTTAAAGGCACAGCAGCAGGCCATCCCCATGTGCCAAAAGATGAGCTGGCATGACAGAAGACTGGCATGCCTGACCAGAGAGCTGTGGCTAGACCTCATGAAGAAAAAGAGGGTTTATGACCTTTGGAAGAAGGGTTGGGCCACTCTGGAGGACTATAAAGATGTTGTGCAGCTGTGCAGGGAGAAAACTAGAAGGGCCAAGGCCCAATTGGAGCTCAATCTGGCTACTGCTATTAAATACAATTAAAAAATGTGTTTATAAATACATAAACAAGACAAGGAAGACTAAGGAAAATCTTCATCCTTCACTGGATATGGGGGGGAAACATAGTGACAAAGGATGAAGAAAAGGCTCAGGTACTTAATACCTTCTTTGTCTCTTGCTTTACCAGCAAGACCAGTTTTTTTGACTTGGTGGAAGTGCTCACCAAGCTACTTTCCATCATTTATCAGCAGTCCTGGCTATCCAGGAAGGTCCCAGTTGCAGGAGGCTGGCAAATATGACACCCATCTACAAGAAAGATTGGAAGGAGGACCTGGGGAACTACAAGCTTTTCATTCTGACTTCAGTGCCTCAGAAGCTTATGGAACAGATTATCTTGATTGCCATCATATGGCACCTGCAGGACAATCAGGTAATCAGGCCCAGTCAGAATGCCCTTATGAAAGGCAGGTCCTGCTTGACGAACCTGCTCTCCTTCTATTACAAGATGATGTGCTCGGTGAATGAGGGAAAGGTTGTGGATGTGGTTCACCTAGACTTTAGTAAGGCTTTTGACACTGTTTCTCATAGCAGTTTCCTGGAGAAACTGTCTGCTCATGGCTTGGACAGGTGTATGCTTTGTTGGGTTAAAAACTGGCTGGGTGGCCATGTGCAGAGTCGTTGGAGGTTAGTCACAAGTGGTGTCTGCCAGGCCTCAGTACTGGGGCCAGTTCTCTTCAACATCTTTATCAGTGATCTGGATGAGGGGATCTGCACCCTTAGTAAGTTTGCAGATAACACCAATTAAGGTGTGAATATTGATCTGCTTGAGGGTAGGAGGATTCTCCAGAGAAATCTGGATAGGCTGGACTGATGGGCTGAGGCCAACTGCATGAGGTTCAACAAGACTAAGTGCTTAAGTGTCAGGGCACAACAACCCTATGCAGTACTGCAGTCTGGGGGAAGAGTGGCTGGAAAGGGACCTTGGGGGTATTGGTGGATAGCTGGTTGAATATTAGCCAGCGGTGTGCTCAGGTGGCCAAGAAGGCCAACAGCATCCTGGCTTGTATAAGAAATAGTATGAATTCTTTTTTTTCCCTTATCAAAATATTGTAGATATTGATTTAGACTGTTAATGTGCCCAGAGATTGAGGAATGTGGAATTCAGTGGAATGCTGTGGAAACCGTTAGAGGTGTATGTTCTATGTTAAGGCAAAGGTGTTTTGGAGCTTAAAAGACACTGAAGGGGGAGAGCCAATAAAGGAAAAGGACTTTATTACAGGAAGGCCCTTAACACCCTAGTGAACCTTCAGTAAATACAGAGGATGCTAATTCAAACATTGGGATTGCTATTAGAAAACATTTCTGAGATGAGCTGGTGCTAAAAATACAGAATGTATGGAAGCCATTGCCCCGCAGACACGCACTCAAGGGGTGTAACAGCTGGCTTAGGCTGCAAACAATTGCAAACATTCTGCTTCAACTGTGTCTTTTTAGAGAAGCAATTAACAAGCAAGGAGAAAAACAATGGAATAATTTCAGAATCAGTGGAAACGAATTGTAGCTTGTTTGGGGACTTTGATAATTGCTGAAAATCATAGAATCATAGAATATCCTGAGTTGGAAGGGACCCTTAAGGATCATCAAGTCCAACTCTTGACACCGCACAGGTCTACCCAAAAGTTCAGACCATGTGACTAAGCGCACAGTCCAATCTCTTCTTAAATTCAGTCAGGCTCGGTGCAGTGACCACTTCCCTGGGGAGCCTGTTCCAGTGTGCAACTACTCTCTCTGTGAAGAACTTCCTCCTGATGCCAAGCCTAAACTTCCCCTGCTTCAGCTTAACCCCGTTCCCGCGGGTCCTGTCGCTAGTGTTAATGGAGAAAAGGTCTCCTGCCTCTCGACACCCCCTTACGAGGAAGTTGTAGACTGCGATGAGGTCTCCCCTCAGCCTCCTCTTCTCCAGGCTGAACAGGCCCAGTGCCCTCAGCCGTTCCTCGTACGTCTTCCCCTCCAGGCCTTTCACCATCTTCGTAGCCCTCCTCTGGACACTCTCCAACAGTTTCATGTCCTTTTTATACTGTGGTGCCCAGAACTGCACACAGTACTCGAGGTGAGGCCGCACCAGCGCAGAGTAGAGCGGGACAATCACCTCCCTCGACCTACTAGCGATGCCGTGCTTGATGCACCCCAGGATACGGTTGGCCCTCCTGGCTGCCAGGGCACACTGCTGGCTCATATTGAACTTGCTGTCATAACACTGCTGGTTGAAGTGCATTTCATAGTTATCAAGTTACTAAAGCACATCCCAATGTGTGGCTGCTTCAGTCTATATAGGAATACTGAGCAAGAGTCTTCAGAAGACTGCTTTTGTGTGCAAACAATTTTGCTAGAGCTGGGGGAAAGAACTCAGACTGTAAACTCTGTGTTTCTGTACTGTAGAGACCAACTGCATATCAGGTAAGCTTGAAGAGAAATGGTAAAGAGCAGTTTAATTCCAGCTGGTCAGAATGAAATAAAAAAAATAACATTAGCAGCATGCTACAGAAAGATGAATGGCACATTAATGAATAACTTCTCAAATGTGTATTTGTTAAACACAAAAAATTGAGAGGAACATATACATCTGTTAGAAAACTGTCTATATATTAAGTTAATGATGAAGTCATTAATGTTAAAGCAGTATCCTAAGCAACTCAATATGATCATTTTTCATATAATTTTTCAAATGAAACCATAGTTTTCTTATGAATTTCTCAGTTGTTTATGCTCTTATAAATAAGTATTCACTATCATTTACTTTGAATAACCTTGCATGTGTTTTTTTCTTCTTTTCCCTAAAGCAGTAATTTTTTAATGCCAAAAATAACAGTATCAAAAGGAGGAAAAAATTTTAATGGAGTGCCAATATTATTATTAAACTTTCAGGCAGGAAAATAAGAAAGTTTTCTAAAGCCAGATTATGATATATTACAATTTTCATAAACTAGATTGTGTGAACATAGACGTAAAAGAAAATATGCAGTGAATTAAGTGTTAATGGAAGATGTTAGAATGCTGTTTTACCTCACAGATAAGTCTGCAAAAAATTTATGTAATATGATCACTGTTCCAAAATAAGTTCATCGGTACTTTGGTTTCCATGCTCAGTTTTGTCACTCTGGGTGACAAAAAGGTCAAGGGTGACTATCTGATTTGAATATCTCTAAGTATCTGTTGAAAGAATATGTTTTGCTCATGGTTTTAACTCTTCAATAGCTGTTCACTTGAGAGTGAAGCCATATCCTTATTCACTCCAGCAAAGTCATTAAAGTATAGTGTCCTTGGTCTGAACCAGTCTCAGAGGTATTAGTAGAATTTTAAGTTTGAAGCAAGTTCCAAAGTGATTGACACCAATCTATGTGTCACTTATATGTGGTAGTACATAGACAAGAATTCAAGGAATGACCGGACATGTTAATAAAACAAAAATCTATTGAGGACCACTAAATACATGACGGTCTCTTTCTTTGTAAAATTCTTTTCTGCCTTCCTCAGTAGCAGATGTTCCTGGGATATTTTTTATTAAATTTTAAAAGAACAACCCATTCTGTTTATTTATGTTCTATGTAAGTAAATTATAGCATGAACAGGTAAGTTATATAGTAAATATTGATTGTCCACACAACCACGCTGTTTCATATATGCCTCTACAAAATTCGAACACTTGTTCTGCACATTTAATTGTCTTTATAATATAATTTACATTGTCTTTGCAGGAGGGTCACACTTTTAATATGCCAGGTAGGAGTTACATGTAGAAGATATGCTTCTACTTTCTTGGAGGTTAAACCACCAATTTTCTTTATAAGATTTTTTTGAAGAAATCATAAAGAAAACTGTGACTTTCAACAGAAAATACATTTTTTTTTATTTAATCCTTTTTGAAAAGATTACTGAAATCAAAAGAAACATTCTTAAACATATCTTTTCTCAGTCTAGCATATGAAGTACAGTCACATTTCTTTTTCCGTGATTTATAACTCAGTGAAGGAGAATCCCACAGATCTCTCAAACCTCAAAGTAATAACTTAAAAAAACTTTTTAGTGTTCTACAGTATAATAACAAGAGTTTCTCCTAGTTAAAAGTCAAAGCTGTGGACTAAGATCTTGTTTAATTTCTCTTTTTTTTTTTTTTTTGTACTTGTGTAACCGAATAGGAGGCATTGTCTCCTCATAATTTCCTAATCTATATAAGATTAAGGAGAAGTAGTGACTTTTGGAAAGCTATCTTAAATCCTTAATGAATTTCCTTTACCTTATAAATGTCTCATGCCAAGCACATGTCTTACTCAGATTTATTTTTACTTAGATCCTGAATCTGCCTGAAGTTAGTAAGGATTCCAGATACAAAACTAATATACTCAGAGTCCAGAACAGAAAAGAACTTATTGACATATTGTCAACTCGGTAAGTTCATTAAAAACAAAGAAATGATATTTAATCTGTTAATGCAAACAGTTATGTATAAGGAACACTCATCATGTAAAAATTTTACGTTAATCTTTTGAGAGATTTATTTAAAAAAAGAAGCGCACTTCCTGATATTAACTGTGTCTTTTGCGCACATACTGTAATGTGGGCTACCAAGAAGCCAAACCATAGTTCTAAGTTTTCAGAAATAATTTAAACTTATTTTTAAACATTTTAACTTAATTCATTAACTTGAATTTTAGTGAAACAACTAGTGCTTTTTGTTTTTCTGGACAAATATCACTGCTAGTAATGAAATTCTTGGACATTACTTTTGCTGTGAAAGGGATTTTAGTTTTCACTAAGAATTTGTGTACCCAGGAGAGTTCCACTTGACTCTACCCTCGCTGTTGGTTCTGTAGTACAGTACTGCGTGCCCCAAATTCTCCCTGGTTGAATTCTTTTAAAATAAAAAGGATGTGTACTTACTGTTCTACAGGAGAATCATCCTATTAAATACTTAATTAAAATATTACGCTTACTTAAAATAATATTATGCTTAATTAAAATAATACGCTTACTCTTAGTTTCAAAGTTGATTTGTGTAGACTCATAAGATAAAGCTCAGGAATCTTTTAACTGAGAAATTAAAATAGCTTAATTGTGTTCTGTACTATGTTTGAGAAGCCCTTAGTTCTGTGGAGTTCTTTGATAAAGAGGAAGATATATTTCTACAATATAAGAAAAAAACTAATCTGTAAAGCTATTAGAAGGTAGTTTCAGCAACACTTCACATTTTGGATTAAGAGCATTAGAATCAGTATATCTGCCATTGTCAATAATTCAAGAAAAGTCACACTATCATTTTGACACTTGGCCTGTATGAGTCTTTATTAACAAATGTGTAACAATTTTCATTCAGACACTTTTATTTTTTTAAGAAGCATTAAGCCAGATGCCTTCCCTTTTCATTTCATTTGAGAAAAATGTCAATAGCACACCTTTTCTCCTCAAGCCAACCTTACACATTTTTTGGATATTGAGAACCAGAATAATCTTGCATTTAAGACTGCAAAGAGAGTAATTTTTCCTCTTCTTGTTTAGTTGCATTTTTATCTCTCTGTTACCAGTCAATTTTCAGGTATCTTGCCCCGTTGAAAAACTGAAGTACCAGGTGACTTTGCATTTTTAAATAATTGTTGTACAACTGTCCATAATGAACTTTTACAACTTGTCTTTTACTTGCCTTCCTATTAGAAATGCAGTGTGATAACAGATGAATCCACTCTTCCTATATTTTTTAAGCCCTTGAAAGGGAATAGGTATCTTTTGATCTACTTTTCAGCTCTTACTTTCTTGACGCTTACTCTTAGTTGATTAGTTGAAAGTTGATTCGTGTAGACTCATTACTTGGAGTTCATTTCACTTAATATGGTATTTATCTGATGTACTCTGGAACCTTATCAAAGTGCTGTTTTGCCATCCACAGATCAATTACCTAATGATGTGGTTGATTCTGAATGTGGGGTTTTTATTTTATTTTATTTTATTGAGAATATTTGAATAAGAAGCTAAAGTTCATGGAACAGTTGTTCTGTGACTAAATTGCCAGATTTGTTTTTATATCTGTAGCTATTAGTTCATCAGATTACATCATTGCTCTGTCAATTACTGCTTTATATCTTTTTCTTTTTTTTTGTCAGTTTATGTTCTGTTTTATTAGCATCGTTTAGGCTGCATTTCTGTGTAATTTATGTGCAAGTACAGATGTGGCTGTATACACATTTCTGGAGTAGACACTTCCAATAGTATTATGTTATGTCATATTACTGTTAATTCATCTGGCATTCAGTTTTGAAGCACCGACTTTAGCAAACACCTTTGGCATTCAAATGGAGGTTGAATATGTAGTATTCCATATACATTCCATGGTAACTTTCCTTTTATTCACTAACTCACAGTTGTTTGTAAAATTACATATAGTTCATTTTGGATGTTACTTAGAGAATTAAATGAACAGTTTGTCAGTGCTGAAAAATGTCACCCCTTGAGAAACGAAAGGAAATGACAAAATAGTAATGGCATAATTTCACTGAAAAATATCTTAATTAAATCACCAATTGCTTGATAGTATTGCAGCTTCCAAAACATGGAATATGTAAACCTAGGGTACATAGTTGGGAAGAAACATCTGCATTCACCTCGCATTCACTGACTATATCTACACTACTATCCGCCTCATGATGAATTTATGGTGACAATAACTGGAACAGCTTAAAAGAGTTGTGATTGTCATAGCAGTGAGTTCTATTACAACCACTTGTGTTGAAATGAGCACCTCCTTTGTGTTCTGGAAAGAGAAAAGGAACATAAAAGTCTTTTAAGGATTTAAGTATGTTATTCATTCACATATAATTTTGATGCTGTGACAGGCAGGTTGCCTCTGACTTGAGGCAAAGCAGCTTTTTCCAGTGACATTGCAATGGAAAAATGAGCAATCCTGTTTGCTGTGCCAGGCTGAGAAGTAAAAAGGAGGTAAAATTTGCATGTATATATAGGAATCTGGTGATCTGTATGGCAGATATGTGGTACTCTTTGCTGTTGCTTGCATATATCACTGCCATTGCACAGTGAGCATATGCTTACTTTCTTTACAAGCTCATGTTCTTACAGTCTTGTTGAGCCGAGATCTCACCAGAGCTTACACTTGGCTTCCACTGACCTATATAACCTGTCTCCTTCCTCCTCTGTCTTTTAAACTGCTTCCAGAGGTATGAGTTACCTTTTTGTTTCCTTTATTTCTTAATTTTCAAAAAGGACTAACTGCAATTCATGTCTAACTTCTGAGCACTTAGTAAGTGTAGCAAGGAGAATTCTTATCCTCCTCATCTAAAGGAAAAAAGATTCTCCAGGTTTTATTTAGGAATAGAGGGAGATGTTTAGCCCTACTTTAGGGGTCAGAAAGCCCCAGAAGTCCTGAGCATTTAATTTGCTGCATGTGTAGAGCTCAAAAATTTTAAAAACATCTGAACACTGAATACCAAGGAGACAGTTGATGCCTTTCATTTGCTAAGGTAAATGTTAAGCAATAGAAAATCTTTAGCCACAGTTTGATTCTGGAAGTGTGCACAAAGGAAACATTGGTACAATCAGTCAATGTTAAGGAATGCTATTTTTTAAAAGGCTGTATCTTGGGAATTCTTGGCTCAAATGGCCTCTGATTTAGATCAATAATTCTACTCACCACCTGCAGTAACTGTGCCAGATTTCAAGGCAGTTAGATAAGCATGGGGATTATATAGCACTTAGAAGAAATTGACCTTTAAATAGATGACTTTTCAGAAAGGTGTGAAATGACCTATTCATCACAGTCAGATGTCCTGAGTTGAGTGAGAATACAAGATGGAGATGAATATTATTTGAGACACAAATGTAGCTTGAAACAACAGCTCTGAGAGGTGTGAATTGCTCCATTCATTTCAGAAGGAATTTTCTCATCCTTCTCTCCCAAGAGATCTGAAGAGGGAAGCACATCTGTCCTCAGCTCTTCATCGCAGCCTCACCTTGCTGCCTGCTTCCATCATCTCAACTCCCTCCATAGAGAGTACATAAAAGAAAGAAAGTGAGAGCAGGTAGGGGGAATAAATTCACATATCCATAAAGACAATCAGATTTCAATAAAAGGAATTGGAAGGCTGACCACTCTAGCATGGTAAGCATATTCTGAAATATCCAGCTCACATTGAGATAAGGGGAAGGAATTACAGAAACCAATCCCAGACATTTTGAGAGGGGGAGGGTTTTCAGTTCCCATCTTATGTGGGGAAGGAAGTGCAATGCTGCAAGGAACACTGGGTAATAAAGATATTTACAGGGAAGAAGAATATAGGCCTATGGGGTATTTTGTATTTGCTTTGCTACTGGTGCTGTTATTCTTTTCCCATCTCTGTTCCTCTTTCTGCTGTGCCTTTTATTTTCCTGTCCCCATCTTCCTTCTCCACTTCCCACTACTTAATTCTTACTCTACTGCCCATGTTTGCACATCTACTGCATCTGCTTTACAAACAAACAAACGAAAAAAAAAAATGTTTCAGTGCCTTCTGTATCTTCCTCTTTATTTAGGTGACATTTTCCCCAAGTGACAGGAAAGCAGAACTCTGACAAAAGTGAATTGCCCTTGGATGTGCTCCAAGAATCAAATTTGAAATGACCCTACCTGGGTGGAGGTCAGGTTCAATGGCTACTACAGAGGCCCCTGAGACTCCTTGCTCATGTGAGAGCTGACAGACTACAGAGCATTTGTTTTTTTTATGTTTCCAATGGAAACCTCTGGTTTGTGAGTTAGATGTACATCCATCCAAGAGAACCAAATTTTAATTGTTGCTCCCTTCCACTTTTACCTCTGTTTCCTCTGGAAAAGAATAGTGCTAGGCACAATATGGATTATTTTGTGTATATAGAGATAGATACATATGTTAAGACATACGTATGTAGCACGTGCTATAATTTGAAATGCATCTGTGCAAAAGCTGTTATAATGCCAGTTTTAAGAGAAGCTGTTTTGAGGAAGGGAGCTTAATCTGTTGACCTTCTTCCAATTACTCCAGAATTTGAACATTAATCCTACCCTGCACCTCAGTAATGTAGACACATTTTAAAACAGTGCACCTAAATGTGTAGCCCAGAGTACTTAGGGAAATTAACCTATAAGTAGAGTAGGGTCTGTGGGGTTGTATGAGTGCAAGGGGGAAGGGGAATAGCAGGCATTCCCTCAGACTTTAAAGTGAAGCAGCTAACATAATGAAGAACACAAATTCATCATGCTTACTACTCCTGCAGCTACAGCTAAATGAATCCACACTGTCTAGAGAGCTAAATTATTGTAGATTTAGAAGTATTAAGGCTGGAAACAGTTCAGAGTCCTATTCCTAGCACTTATATTTAAAAAACCTTATTCTTGACTGTGCACCACAGCTGCATGTTGTGCATATGAGTGT